ACGAACCACAGGCGGCCGGGATGTGCTAAAACTAAGGACAAGCAATTGCCCATAGGGAATACATGAGTGGACAGCAATTGCCCATAGGCAATACATGAATGCCAATAGAGAATGCATGATTGCCCATAGGGAATAATGAAGAGTAGGCTTGTCCATATGGGATAATGGAGTACATAATTGCAGTACATAATTGCCAATAGAGAATCCATAATTGCCAACAGAAAATCCATGACTGCCCATAGGGAATAATGGAGAGGACGCTTGCCCATAGAGGATAATGAAGTACATAATTGCCAATAGAGAATCCATGATTGCTCATAGGGACTAAATTGCCAACAAAGAATCCATGATTGCCCATAGGGAGTAATGGAGAGTAGGCTTGCCCAGAGGGGACAGTGCAGTACATAATTGCCAACAGAGAATCCATGATTGCCCATAGGGAATAATGGACATCAGAGCACACCTGACCATAGGGTATAATGCAATCCATGCTTCGCACAATGAATAAGGTAGACCACATGTGGACATAGGGAATAAGGGAAACCATGCTTGCCCATAGGGAATAATGGAAAGCACGCTTGCCCTCAGGGAATAATGATCACCACACTTGCCCATAGTGAATAATGGCCACCACGCTTGCCCATAGGGAATAGTGGAAAGCACGCTTGCCCATAGGAAATAATGGAAAACACGCTTGCCCATAGGGAATAATGGAAAGCACGCTTGCCCATAGAGAATAATGGAAAGCATGCTTGCCCATAGGGAATAATGGAGACCACGCTTACCCATAGGGAATAATGGAGACCACGCTTGCCCATTGAGGATAATGAAAAGAACGTTTACCGATAGGGAATAATGGAAAGCACGCTTGTCGATAGGCAATAATGGAAACCACGCTTGCCCATAGGGAATAATGGAAACTACACTTACCCATAATGGCCACCGCACTTGCCCATAGGGAATAATGGAAAGTACGCTTCCCCATAGGGAATAATGGAAACCACGCTTGCCCATGGGGAATAATGGAAAGCACGCTTGCCCACAGGGAATAATGGAAAGCACACAGTAAAGAGCCCAGGGGGTGGGAACATGCAACAAGCCCCACCCCCTGCTCCCAGCAGCCCTAAGAACATAAGAACACAAGAGACGCCAATGTTGGATCAGGCCAAAGGCGCATCCAGTCCAACACTGGGGGCCCAAAATACCAGGTGCCATCAGGAGGTCCACCAGTGGGGCCAGGACATTAGAAGCCCTCCACTGTTGCCCCCCCCCCCCAAGCACCAAGAAGACCGAGCATCACTTGCCCCAGAGTCCCTATCATTTCTGCCAGATAGCCCTCAGTCAGAGCAAGAAGCAGCCAGGTAAGTTGCAGAGCTCCCCCCGTCCCCCCGGTCCAAAACAGTCCAGTGGCACCTTTAAGACCAAGTTTTATTCAGATACAAGCTCTCCCTCCTCTGCGAAGGCAGATCTGCACCCCCCCCCCCAAATAGCTAGCAAAAACAGTCCAAAACAGTCCAGTGGAGCCTGAGCGGTGGGTGTTGCCTTCTGACACACTTCCGGTGATGTCAAGGGTGTGGCACATGCTAATGAGCTCCTGCACCTCTTTTTCTACGAAATGACCTTTGACTGTAATAGATGCCCACTTGCAGCCAGTTCATTTGGGAAGGGCGGTGGGAGAGAGGGAGAGACAGACAGAGACCATCCTTATATGGGGAAGGAAAAAAATAAATGACGAGTAAAATTTATTCTGGAAGGACGGAACCATGGTCAAGACGAAAGCCCTCAACTGTAACCAGTCTAAGGTGGAATGGATCTTTTCCGGACTACAGTCAGAGTGGATGAACATCATCCAATCTGGGGGAAGGAATCTTGTAAAGGCTGACAACTGAGAAATTGGGATCTGGCTCCTTCCAGAGTCTTTCTGATGGACCCTCAGCTCCACCTTGGCCTCAGGCCAAGACACCCTCTCTGGCTTGGTTGATGGCCACAACACTGGCCTCACTTGCCCTTGCATGAGTGGGGTGCCTTGTACCGCTTTATATGGCCGTGCTGAACATCACTTTCATGGCCGCCCCAACTTCTCGAAGCACCCAGTGGTGGCCAAGTAGCACGTCAGGCCTCACAAACATATATTGCTGTTCAATTCATGCATCATCCTAACGGCAGCAATTCCTACCTTTGACACCTATGAAAGACCCTTACCCAGAAAAGCCACGCTCCCATAGATCTCCTGCATGACTTCCCTGTAGAGAGCTTTCTGGCACAGATCCAGCAGGGCCCACTCCGCCACAGTGAAATACACGGCCACCTCCTCAAAGGAAAATGGAGACTGAAAAGAAAAAGCAGAGATCAGAGATCATGCCAGGCAGGGACTATACACTTGGCGGGGGTATTTCGTGAGGGTGCAGGATGTAGAGCTTGGTATGTGTAAAAGCAGTGCTGTTCAGAGCCTCTCTTCCTCAGACAGCAGGAGGAAAACTGTCCCTGAGAAAGAAGTGAGGGCCCCGCCCCTGTTCATCCCCCCTACCTGGATCAGAGGTCGAGCAGCCGTTTCCACTTCTCTGAAAAGAAAACTACTTGATAACGTCTCTTCGCTGCCTGCAAGGGAGACAAAATTGGAAGGAGGGATTTTAGCCATAAATTTTGCTCTGACTTCACATCCAGTTATTTGACGGGACAAGACATGAAAATCAAACCAAGTCGACCCCATACTCTGCCCTCAAACCTCATAATCCAGAGGTGGAATTTGCCCCTAGGAGTTCAAGCCCACCACCCCGGGGCCCAGGGAGCCATGGGAACAGTTGGTGTCCTCCAGCGGCGGCAGCAGCCATAACTTTTTAAGCTGGGGGAGCGTGTTGCGAGAAGTGGAATTTGCCTCTAAGAGTTCAAGGCCACCACCCGGGGGCCCAGGGAGCCGGAGGAACAATTGGCGCCCTCCTTGCGCGGCAGCAGCCATAACTTTTTAAAGAGCCCCTCACAAGAGCTGGGGGAGCCGAAATGACCTCTCACAAGAGGTGGAATTTGCCTTTAAGAAGAGTCCAAGGCCACCACCCCGGGGCTCAGGGAGGTGGAGGAATGTTTCACACACACCCCGCTGCCTCAGCCATTGCAGCTGCCGCCGAGAGCGCCAGTGGCCATAAATTTTTAAAGAGCCCCCAAGGAGAGCTGGGGGAGCCAGAACGTCCTATCGCGTGTCATGTCCGAGCGGCATTGCTCGGACATCACGCGCGAGAGGTGGAATTTGCCCCTAGAGTCCAAGGCCACCACCCCGGGGCTCAGGGAGGCGGAGGAATGTTCCCCCCGCCCCCATTGCAGCTGCCTCCGACAGCGCCATGGGATTTAATTGTATGTTTGGGGTGTTTCGATACCAAAAAAACCAAGCACCCATGAGGATCCGTGCTTCAGAATCATGTTTTTGCAGAATGCTTTCACCACCAAGCTGTGGATTTGTGATTTTTATGGTGCAAGCTGTGGACGTGGATGTGTTATGTGATTTGATGGTGTGTTTGGGGTGACCCAGTTGAAAAACCCTGAGGATCCATGAGGATCCGTGCTCCAGAACCATGTTTTTGCAGTTTTGTGGTGCCACGAATTCATGGGGGCATGATTTTTGTAGTGCTTCCTATAGTCTAAGCCATGGTCTACACTATGATGTTGGTTTTATTTCATTCCAGCGTAGAAATCATATGAATTCATGAGGATCCATCCTTTGGAATCATGCGCTGTTGTGGTGCCACGAATCTGTGGGAGCGTGATTTTTGTGCTGCCCCCTATAGACTAACACATGGCCTACAATATGATGGTGGTTTTATATCGTTTCAGAGTAAAAATCATATGAATTCATGAGGATCCATGTAGATCCGACTTTTACCCTTTTCCTTGATTTGGCGCTTTCAGCAGAGGTCTTCCCGAACTTGAGCAGAGCGAGTTCCCCGTGGGTGTAGGCAGGCTCTCTCTACCCTTCATGCTTCACATTCGGTCTCCTGAACCTCGACCCTTGGTTTTCGCCCTCGCCCGCCCCTCCTGGCTTTCCGGCGGAGACAAGCAGCCCGGCCGGGTTTGAGCGCGCCCCCCTCCAGCACCACCACCCGGGAGGGGGCCCTTTGTTTCGGGGAGCTCGGAGTGAGAAGTGCGCTCCGGTGTTTCCCCCAGCGGGCCTGCTGCCGTAGCTGCAGATGGTCCGTGGCGCAGATGCACTCTGCCCATGCTCAGAGTTGACCGCGGCTTTCTTCCGAGGGCAGAGGTCTGCTCCGAAGAGCTGCCGGGGCCGAGCACACGTGGGCGGCACGGAAGCCCCGCCCCCC